CCTGTTCCCTCACTCTTATTAGAATGGAGGAAATCAGACTGAGAGGAGTAAATGCGTACAGCAGCACTCTTGGCCACTGGTGAGCCAATGCGTCAACTCACAGACTCACAGAGGCGCGTCCGCGTCTGTCAGGGAGAAGAAGAGTGGGCAGTGGGCGCTTTCCCACGAGGTGAAGAGATCTACGGTAACCAGACCGAATCTCAGCCATATTTGGTGCACCACCTTGGGGTGGAGTTTCCATTCTCCGTACAGAGGATTTCCTCTGGACAGAAGGTCTGCCCCTCTGTTCAAGCTGCCCGCCACATGTGTTGCACGGACTGAGAGGAGTCTGGAGCTGCACCACACAATTATTTCCTTGGCCAGTGAGTGCAGCTGTAGGGTGCGTGTCCCGCTCTGACGGTTGATATAAGCTACCACTGTGGTGTTGTCTGTCTTCACTAAGACATGACGGTCCCTTAAGTAGGGCAGGAAGTGCTTTAAGGCCAGAAACACTGCTAGGAGTTCCAGCACATTTATGTGAACCTGTTTCAAACTGCGTGACCAAACGCTGTTCACTGCTCTCCCCATCAAGGTGGCCCCCCAACCTGTAAGAGACGCGTCCGTCGTCATGGTAACTCTGGACACCACCGCCCCCAGCGGAACCCCAGTTGTGAGAACTGTTCAGTCTCTCCAAGGCTGGAGAGCTGACATGCACGCCGGAGTTATCTTCACTCTGCGGTGGAGATGACGGTGGGAGCATAATCTTAACAACCTCACCCACCACTGAACATCTCTCATCATAAGAAGCCCCAGTCGCACCACAGAAATCATTGACGCCATGAGGCCGAGAAGGCGCAGGCAAAGTCTGTACGACGCACGTATCCTAACTGAAAACGTGCGACACACTGTGTGAAGGACGCAATCCTCTTCTGACAGCGAAACGCGATAAGAGAGAGAGTTTATCTGAAGACCCAGATATTCTGTGCATTGTCTGGGGAATAAACTGCTCTTTGTCCAGTTTATTTTCAATCCCAGGTCGGTCAGATGGCTCAACACCACCAGCGCGTCGCTGGCTGCTTGCTCCCGGGAGGGAGCGCAAATCAGATAATCGTCTATGTGAGAGAAAATTCTGATCTCGCGAGTCCTCAGTGAGGACAGCGCTGCCTCCACACACTTGGTGAAAACCCTCGATGCTAATGACAGCCCGAACGGGATGGTTTGAAACTCGTAGGCTGTGCCCCGATAGGCAAACCTGAGAAATTTCCTGTGTAGAGGATAAATAGAGATGTGAAAATAGGCATCCGCAAGGTCAATCGTGACAAACCAATCTCCTGGGCAGATGGAACGGCAGAGTGTTTTGTGAGTCAACAATCTGAAAGTTTACTTGCGTAAGTGTTTGTTTAACACATGCAGGTCGAGTATGGGACGGAGAGATTTCCTGTCCTTCTTTGGAACAAGGAAGTAGAGCGAATAAAAACCCTGGTGGGCCTCGTCGCTCGGCACCATCCTGATCGCTTTTTTTTGTTCAACAGTGAAGCGACTTCGTTTTCCAGGATATGCGCCGAATCCTCTCTTGCCACTGACGTTATTATCCCGTTGACATGGGGAGGTTTTGAGGCAAACTGAAGCCTGTAACCCCAACAAACTGTCATCAGAACCCACGAGGGAACTGCGCATGCGCGCCACCTCTTGGCCCGCGCCGAAAGCAAGCCGCTGTTGGGTGACGTCATCTCCGTCACCTGAGCAGCCTTGACTCGACCTGTGGGAAGAGTGAGAGGGCCCTCTGCTGGGGAGCTGTCTGCCCTTGACTGAACGCCTGGCTGCAGAAAAGCCGTCTTTATTTTTAAATGACCCCCCTGAACATTTCTGCACACATCTGGGAACAAAGTGCTTGGTGACACTAACTGCATGCTCATGAAAAGTGTTTGGTGACACTGCGTTTTCTGCTCCACACACTCGCCACTCCTGCTGGACTGGGAACCACAGGAGTGTCTGAACCCTGAACACAGAGGTCTGTTTGTACCTCTGAAAACCTCCTCTTCTTCTGGAGAGGAGAAGCAAGAGCAGCTAGGATGACTTCTTCCTCTTGCCCTCGCTGGGGTGAGACGGGCGGTTCCTCGCGGCTGCTGCTGCGAACGAGTGCTTCCCCCATGTGCGAGGGTTCTCCGCCTTGTTTGGCTGACCACCTGCCGATCGCTGTGGTCTAGCCCCACCCTGTTGACCCTTTGCCGCTGGGGCAGCTGCTGAAAACCCAGGCTTGGGTGCCTGAGGTGGCTGAGGGTTATGTTTACAAGGCAAGCAGAGATTGAGGGCCTCACCTTCCTGCTTCCTGCGGGTGCTTGTCTCAGTCATCTTCTCCAGGGCGGGCCAAAGAGACCTTTGACAGGGTCATATGCTGCATCCATGACATCAGCTTTCTGGCTGTCACCTAGGCCTGACAAGTTTAGCCACAAGGCTCTCTCACCTGAAACAGCCAAACCCATCACACACCCACAGCCCTGGACTGCTCCTCTAGAAGAGTGCAGGATGAGATCATTCACCACACAGATTTCATCCCATAAAGCCGGGTTAGGCGCCCAAGAGTCCAGCTGACGACCCATTTCCTCCAGGATTTCTCCTTGATAAGCTGACAAGAGAGTAACTGCATTGAGGGAACACAGAGATTGGCCAGCATATGTGTGCATCCTCTGAAAAATGGATGCCGTGAGACGATCCGTTTTAGATGGGAGAGAGATGCTAGATGACGCTGACACGGATCTGCGGTTGGGGTGAAGGTGGTATGCCACTGAAGGCTCCACAGTTGGGGGTTCGGCCAGCCCCAATTCCCCCATCCCATGCACCTCCAGTTTGGAGTATCCCTTGGTGGGGAGTTTGCTTTTAAATGAGCTAGACCAGTAACACTTGGGTGGAGCGGAGGACAGTGGAAGCCTCATACAGGTCTCGTCCCACCCCTTCTGCCCCTTGGGCTGCCGGCCACTGAATGTTGAGCTTTGCAGCTGCTCGCCTGCAAACCTCGTACACGTCGGTGTCCCCCTGTGATGCCACCCCAGTGCCGCTAGGTGGCCTAGAGTGTTGAGCCGGGAAGGTGGAATCCTCTTCCTCCTCGTCCATGTCCAAATAGAGGAGGTCATCACCCGCATCGAGCAGCCCACTGTCAACCAGTCCCTCGAACAGAAGTGGTAGCGGGGGCTCCTCCTCCATCATATCTGCCCAACTTGTGGAGGCTCGCGGCTGATGGTTGTCACCTGCATCACAGGTGTGGCCAAGCCGAGGCCTGGGTTCTGGCTGTTAGCCACTGCCACTCTAAGCCTCCTTTTTCTCTTGCATGGAGGAGCAGTGAGGGCATGTCTGCGGGTTAGCCAGCGATGCCTGGGCGTGAGCAGCACCCATGCACACTATGACAATAGGATGAGGGTCCCTGCCTGAAATAGAAGCCCCACATGACGCCGGGCACAGGCGGGATGCAGCCTCTTTAGCCTTTGGTTCCGACCCTTCCGTCTGAGTAGGGGTGGAAGCCATAGCTGAAAAACCGACTGGTCGTGACAGATTAGCCTGAAAAAGCGTTAGCAAGCTAGTTAGCAGGTGTAAGTCTGCAACTATAGCTATATTTTATATGTAGGACAACTCGTCGTGACACGTTAGCTGCAACAAAATAGCTCATTAGCGAGTAAATGCTAAATAAGAACAGGACAAGCTCGCAACAACGCGTTAGCTTGAGCCACACTCGCTAATACTACTCCGTCAATGACAACCGAGTAGCCGCGGGAGCAGTTCGCCGTGACGCGGTAATGGTTCCTAGCAAAGTGTGCCAAGTGACTTAGAAACACTTACTCAGCTCTAATCCAGACTGCATTGGGACTGCGTTCGGCGACGGATCCTGATGGTACGCCTGGGAACAGTTAAGCAGCTGACCAAAGATAGCCTGAAAATCGCTGAGGGAGCAAAGTGTAGTTTCTCACGGGAAGAAAGCGAGAATGAGTAGGAGGGGTTGGTTGGCCGTGTATATACTGGGTGGGCGGAGCCTGGGCACGGCGCTACCAGTCTGTCAGGGACAGACGTGATGTCAATGGAGCTTCCGTAGTTGGTCACGCCAGGGCGATTCCCATAGTGAAACACCGAACGAAGTTAGAAAAAGAACCCCGAAATAACAAACAAGATTGAAAAAAATTATAAAGGATAAAAGGGATAATAAATTAAAAGAATTAAAAGATTAAAAAAAATAACGAGTAAAAACAAGGTCATGACTAAAAATATTTTAAAAAAACATACTAAAAGGTAAGCACATGTCAACAGGGAAGACACCACAGACTAAAACACTAACAGCCTGATCATTGATCAAAGTTAATGATAAAAATAGGCCTTCGGCACTGACTTGAACCGACACAGTGACGGGGCCTGTCGAACACTGAGGTGAAGAGCATTCCAAAGTTTGAGGGCAGCAAACACGTAGGCCCGGTCCCCACTGGATTTATATTTCATCTTTGGGTGCAAAAGAGCAGGTGATCTGCCAATCTTAGGCTTCTGGATGGTACATATGGCTTGAGCAGTTCTGACAGGGAAGCGGGAGCTGGACCATTTAGGGAATTGTAAACAATAGTTAAGACCTTAAACTGGATGCGGTATTCACAGTGGATGAATCAAAATATTGGTTTAAAACATGTAACAGCTCAGACGGTATACAATTATGAATGTTAAAATCACAGCTGAGGTCATGTCTGGTGTTACCATAGTGCACTAAAAACATCTACAAGAAGAACTGGACGGAAGGGCCCCACTTGGGTCAGACTAGAGACATACAAGTGTGTAAAGGAGAGACTCCAGATAGAAATGTGTTTGGAAGATGGAAGGACCCCATAAGAACATGACTGGAAACATGACGGTGTGTGTGACATTACCTGGCCTTCCCCACCCAATAGGTTCACCTGACTACCATACAGCCACATGAGCATTGGTCCATTTTAGTAGTAGAACAACACCACATACATGTCAGCACAGAAGAAGGTGTTTGAATGTATTCTTACCTGTGTGTAGGTCTCATCTGGGATTGGTCCATCATTAAGCATCTGAGGAACAGGGCTGGCCACATTCTCTTCTGCTGCAGCAGGAGTCTGAAGGCCTTTCATCTGAAATATAGATAACAGACAAAAGACTCAGAACTATATGAAGAGACTTCCAAAGGCAAAAAAGATCATCTAACTGTGAAACAGCAGCACAGAACGATAACTGAGAACATGGCTTGGCCTTCTGGACTACTGGTAATGAGCAGCTCTCATGACGATTCCAGGAGTTCACAGTGGATGAATCAAAATATTGGTTTAAAACATGTAACAGCTCAGACGGTATACAATTATGAATGTTAAAATCACAGCTGAGGTCATGTCTGGTGTTACCATAGTGCACTAAAAACATCTACAAGAAGAACTGGACGGAAGGGCCCCACTTGGGTCAGACTAGAGACATACAAGTGTGTAAAGGAGAGACTCCAGATAGAAATGTGTTTGGAAGATGGAAGGACCCCATAAGAACATGACTGGAAACATGACGGTGTGTGTGGCATTACCTGGCCTTCCCCACCCAATAGGTTCACCTGACTACCATACAGCCACATGAGCATTGGTCCATTTTAGTAGTAGAACAACACCACATACATGTTAGCACAGAAGAAGGTGTTTGAATGTACTCTTACCTGTGTGTAGGTCTCATTTGGGATTGGTCCATCATTAAGCATCTGAGGAACAGGGCTGGCCACATTCTCTTCTGCTGCAGCAGGAGTCTGAAGGTCTTTCATCTGAAATATAGATAACAGACAAAAGACTCAGAACTATATGAAGAGACTTTCGAAGGCAAAAAAGATCATCTAACTGTGAAACAGCAGCACAGAACGACAACTGAGAACATGGCTTGGCCTTCTGGACTACTGGTAATGAGCAGCTCTCATGACGATGAAGAAAAAAAGGACTCAAAGCTTCAAAATTTTAGGTAATACTCCCCAAAAAAGTAGCAAGACTTCTTTAAGAATATAAGAGACTTGATCAATCTCTTGAATGTTAACTAAAATGTTTTAAATAATAAATATAAACTAAACAAATAAAATTGGGTTAAATGAAATGTATGATTGTTTTTAACCAAATGTGACTAAGCAGCTACAACACTAACTCACAGAAGCAGCTTGATGTTTTAATATGGCATGACAGGAAGTGAAAGATCAACACAAAAAGCTGCTTCCTTTTTCTTTCTGTCTCTTACTTCCAGGTGTTGCTGCTTCCTTATGACGATAATGCCAGCGTCCCTCCTAAGCAGCAGGCTCCTCCAGCGTACACCTCTGCTGCAGCATGAATACCCCCACACACCCCCTACAGCAAAGTGTATGCACCATACTGCTGCTCAACACAACATGATCCATATTCTGTAGCCACACACACACACACACACACACACACACACACACACACACACACACACACACACACACACACACACACACACACACACACACACACACACACAAAACCACCACTGTGACCTCTGACCCCACCTATCTCTCGTCAGTGTTTGGTAATAACTTTCCAGAAGTCTGATGCGTCGGTGAGTCACCCAATGAGGACTCTAGGAAGTTTGATAGATGAAATATAGTTGTCTGAATGTGTGTGTGTGTGTCCTTATGAATGGGATGTTTGAAGAGATTAACATGGTCCCAAGGTCTGTGTAAACATTAGGCCGATCCACCAGATGCTCTTACCGGATGGAAACAAAATGTCCTGAAATTCCAAGCTGATGACCACTGCTTTATGGAAAGCAAAGATGTGAAATTTGTCTATTAAAATGTACTTACACTGACAAATGTGTGTTTTGTGGTGAAGGTTGAGCTGGTGTAAAAAGGCTGCTTCTGAGAGATGGCTGAAGGTGGATTTCACCCTCTCAGGCTCAAAATAAGTTTTGATAAAAGGATGAACAACTAAGTCCTTCAGGGGTACTCCTGAGTTAAAAAATGCTCATGAAATACGTATGTGGAGTAATCAGGAGCCTCATTTATCAAGCGTGATTACGCACAAAACAGGGTCGGAAAACTGCGTAAGCAACTTTCCACGCAAACTTTGGGATTTATGAAAGAAAACTTAGCGGAAAATTGTGCGCAACTTTAAGTTGACTAAGGACCTTGCTTAGGCACATTTTGGACATGGAGAGCACCTGCAGTGCTGCTGCTGAGAAAGATATAATTATGAAATTCTGCAACATTATCACTTGTACTGCTTCGTTTTCACACAGAACAAGACCCTCCACACGCACATGCACACACACACACACACACACACACACACACACACACACACACACACACACACACACACACACACACACACACACACACACACACACACACACAGCCTGAAGCGCAGAATATGGAATGCAGAATATCAGCAGGGGGACAGATTGAGACAGAATGTCATGCTTCTGTGACAGTGTGTGTCCTGTCACTGTGGCCCGATTGATCATGCGCCCGGCTAGTTGGACAAGGGAGATCTCCGTTTGGCTGACTGGTTAGCGCACATGACTTTCACCTGGGAGTCTAGGGATCGAATCCCAATTGGACCCTTTTTTTTATATCTGCCACAGATCTCTGAAGAATTTACAACATTGACTGCTTCAGCAACGCTGTGCCACTTCGTGGATTTTGTCTTATTTGTTTTGCAAATGTACTTCCTTTCATTTCTCCACCTCACCCACAAGTACCTCAATTTCTGCTTGTGAAATTGCGCTTCCTTGATCTGCCTTGATCTACGGTTGCCATCGTCATTGGCAGAGCGTTGCAACAGCCGGCTTATGTATATGTATGAGATCCACAAGGCACTTTGCATTGACTGTTTATGGCAGTAAGTGGGCGTGGTGAGGGCGGATGTGACTAAAATGCAGCTGAGAACCATTCTAGATAGTTTCTGATTCATGAAGTGGAGATTGCGTGCAGCTGTGCGTACTCCATGTTTGATAGATCACAAACCTACTTGGCGTAAGTACATTTTTTTTTGCTGAGCTTAAGTACGGTTTTAGTAAGGATTCTACGCAATGTTTGATAAATGAGACCCCAGGTAGGTAGGTTTTAACATTGCTAATCTGCAACGCCTGCCTCCAGAGGGTTAACGGAAACACATTCATCAGGTGTTCATCTACAACTGATCAGATTTGGAGTCAATTTATAACATCTGATTTTTGCAGACGATGTGAGAGACATAATAAGATACCTTTCGTCAAACATTTTGACAGGTCTATTGTTCTTTGACCTTTTTGACCTTTCAGTCCTATTGTTCATTTTGACCCTTGACCTTGCTCCCCTTTCCTATCATTAATCAAATGGACAGGTGTATTGTTCAATCTTTGCCCCCCCTTACGTATCATTAATCAAATGGACATGTGTATTGTTGATCGTCCAGATGGCCTAGACCCCCCACGCCGCATCATCAATGGCGTATTGTTGAGTGTCCAGATGTCCATGATCCCCCACGTCATAGGCTAATGTGTGTAATGGCGCGTGAAGTTTCTTATTGTGTTACCCCAGCGGTTCCCACAGCCCCCTCCCTTCTGAGTGTAATCCTATAGTGGATAACTCTTAAAAGCTCAGATCTGTCCGAATGGTGAAAAGCCGAGCTCTAAGAAAAAATGATGAACCACGAGGAGATGCATGAAGCACCAAGCCACGAGGAAGAGGTGCCTACTACATCCGATGCTTCAACTTCAACTCAAAAAGTGAAAGAAGAGAGCGTGGATACGCCGCTGTCAAAAACCATGCTTTGTGAAAAATCCATCGCTATACATCAGATGCCGGCTGGAATTGGAGCTCCCCGCAAATCTACATTCTACATCTGCAGAGTGCAGGTTCCTCCTTTCGGGGGTAAAGAGATCTTGGAGCAAATATGGCAGTTGGAACCTTACGGCTATAGCGGTAGTTTTGGGTACCGGTTCAGCTACGACACTAAGGAACTGTGTTTAATCCAAGATGTGGCTGAGGGGGAACCTCTTAAATCCTATTTATCAAACTCACCAGCGGTTCTCTCCTACAACGATTGGGCTGTGCTCAGGCTGGCTGTTCCACGCAAGGTGCACAGAGATGATGAAGAGAGACCTAGTCCGCCTGTCAATCGCAGCGGGCCGCAAGCTCTTCCAACGTTGGATGAAATCCAGAACGCTGTGACAGCATTCAGCGCTTCATGGGAGGGGGAAGAGGATGCTGATGGAGAGTGGATGTTCAAGGCCTCGGTCCGTGTGAGAGGATTTGAGCTCTTTTTTGTGCTGGAGAATGTGCATTCTGTATGCGGAATTTACCGCCTTCTACAGGTTGTACCTTTCGAAGCCTGGTGTGAAAAAATAAATGAAGTGGAGGATCGTATTACTTCACTTTTTCGTACCAGCCGCTGTTGGAACGACATTCTGACAGTGCGAAAAAAGCTGGAGTTCTAAGACCTGCCTTAGGAGGAGGAGGAGGTTGCATCATCATACCACGCCCCCCCACCCAGCACTAGTTATAAAGAGCTTACAGTTAGAAACCATTTCATCCAGACGATCTAGGCATCAGCATGACGGGGTTCTACAATCAGACGACCCTTAAAGACCTTTGGAGCCCACCACCGAGCTGGGTACTAACGGATTCATCACCACCGAGATACAACACCAGTCCGAGGTCCAGATCGCTACCATCACCACCACCGCCGAGATACAACGGCAGTCCGAGGCCCGCATCGGCGCCACCGTGTTTTCCAGAGGATAACCTACCACGACTCCCTACCATCATGGAGGTTCCGGAGAACGTACCATTCAGGCCCTGGGTCGATGGGGCTCATCCACCTTTGGTGACATCAAACCCTGAGCCGCCGCCAGGTCATGAGGAGGAGGAGGATGTGCAACCCCTCGACATCCAGAGCACCGATGAGGAGCCTCACCGTCTGCCTGACTGGGTGTTTTCAGAAGACAAAGTAGAGCGTGTGAAAATGGGTCTTCTTCACTTGGTCAACATGGCGATCAAAGCTCACTTACCAACCATCTGCCACGGATGCAAGATCGATCACCCCAGTCAACGGCAACACGAATGTCTTTACGTAGCTGAAAATGAATTATTTTACGATTTTCACTTTACGGACATTATTCGCAGGGTTTTAACACCTAAACTGATTCCGGCTCTTCAAAGTTTTCTCAGTCTGCACGGCTTCCAGCCTCTGGACACTGAGATTCTGTTCACCATGGCTGTGACGCAGCTGCACGGATTCAGGGCTGTGATGCCCATTCATAAAGACATTTTTCCGGTGTACGATCGCCTGTCCAAAGCTGACCTGGACGCGCTGTCCGGGGTGGTGATGGAGTGAGCGAGCTGCGGAGGGTCTCTTCTACAACTTTATTATTATATTTGACAACAGTATGATTAGATTTTAGTTCTGACTAGTGTTTAGATTATATTTGACGACAGTATGATTAGACTGTGATTTTATTCATTATATTTGACGACTGTTTTTAGTTCTGACTAGTGTTTAGATTATATTTGACGACAGTATGATTAGACTGTGTGATTTTATTCATTATATTTGACGACTGTTTTTAGTTCTGACTAGTGTTTAGATTATATTTGACGACAGTATGATTAGACTGTGTGATTTTATTCATTATATTTGACGACTGCTGTTTTTACAGTATGATTAGACTGTGTGATTATATTTGATGACTGCTGTTTTTTACAGTATGATTAGATTTTATTTAGACTGTGTGATTTTATTCATTATATTTGACGACTGCTGTTTTTACAGTATGATTAGACTGTGTGATTATATTTGATGACTGCTGTTTTTTACAGTATGATTAGATTTTATTTCTGACGGTAGCGTCATTAGATTTTAGTTCTGATTAGATTGTGTGTACAATTTATGAAATAAAAAGAACTAATGAAAACAAATATGCATCATTTTTGCCAACCATTCATCAGAGATGGAGGAGGTAATGAAAAAGGTTTATTTTACACCAGAACATCAGGGTAGTTACGGTGGTGTGGAAAGGTTTAGAACCGGTTTACAACAAGATATTGGGGAGAAAGTTTCATCGGATAAGGCTCGCGATTTTCTCTCAGAACAAGACGCCTATACACTTCACAAACCTGCAAGAGTTCATTTTCCGAGAAATAAGGTTTTTGTCTCAGGGCCGCTAAAACAGTTTCAAGCTGACTTATGCGACATGCAGGCCTTGTCAAAATCAAACGACGGCTTTAATTACCTATTAACCGTCATAGATGTATTTTCAAAGAAAGCCTATGTACGAGCCCTGAAAAACAAATCGGGGAAAGATGTTACAGAAGCTTTTGCTTCAGTTTTGAAAGACAGCGGTGTCCCTAAAAAATTGCAAACGGATTCCGGTAAAGAATTTTTTAATAAGAAATTTGAAGCCCTCATGAAGAAACACGAAATTGTGCATTTTGCCACAGCCAGCAGCGTAAAGGCCAGCGTTGTGGAGAGATTTAACAGGACTCTAAAAGGTAGAATGTGGAGATATTTCACAGCCAAAAACACCCATCGCTACATAGATGTGATTCAAGATTTGGTGAAAGGTTATAATCATAGCTACCACACTTCTATCAAAATGGCCCCCTTTGAAATTAACACGGAAAATCAATGGCAAGTGTTTCGCAACCTTTACGGGACCACCGCACCGAAGCCTGCAAAGAAAATGAAGTTTAACAGTTGTGAGAATTTCCAAACTCAGAGGTGTTTTTGATAAAAAATATGAACAGAGTTTCACGCACGAGCTGTTCACAGTGGACGAGTGTCTTCATCGAGCACCGCCGGTTTATAAACTCAAAGATTTTGATGGGGAAAAAATTGAAGGGTCATTTTATGAACCCGAATTGCAGAAAGTAAACTTATCGACCGAACGATCCTTCCACGTTGAAAAAATTTTAAAGCGCAGAACTTACAGAGGCCAGAAGCAAGTTTTTGTTAAATGGCTTGGCTGGCCTCAAAAATTTTCCAGTTGGATTAAAGCCTCAGACCTGCACGACGTTTAAAAACAGATACAATAAAAAAATGGATCTGAGACAAGAGGAGGGTTTTTATATCACATTACCCTCTAATTCCAGTAACGAAGTGTTTAAAAATAACACGATTGCCAGTTACAGAACCAATCTAGCCCGTCACATCAATCTCAATGGCAGGTGGCAAGTGGGACTGTCTGAAATCACTTACGTGCACTCGTGGTTTAATTTACCGAACGATCGTGCGTTTGTTGAATGGCGACGAGTGAAAGAACCTAAGAAAATCAACAGAGCTCCGATTACTCCCGGATATTATAAAGCTATCCAAACACTTAGAATGGAATGTGAGACTGCTATGAGAAAGATTGATCCTGATTTCTATCTCATTCACAGATTCCCCGACCCCATTCTCAAATATCAGATCGGTGATGAAATAGAATTTAGATTTTTAGCGCCTCTGGCCTATCTGTTAGGTTTCAACGCGGGTGAGTGGTTGACGCCTGAAGGTACTTCAGGCCTCGATGAACCGATCAAATCGGCGCCTCACCCACCCGATTTAACAGGCGGTCTATATCAATTTTACTGCTACACGGATGTCGTGACCGAGCAGTTGGTCGGCGACGTCTTTGCGCCTTTATTACGTACGGTGAAAGTTGAAGGGACCTTCGGTCACATGGTCACTCATGTGTTTAATCCTGTGGATTACATCAGCGTTTCTACGAATCATATAGAAAGCATTCATATCGAAATAAAATCTGATCAGAATGAGCCGATTCACTTCTTATACGGAAAAACAACGGTGAGGCTTCATTTCAGGCCCGCACATCAGAGAAATACAATAATATAACGCTCGTGAAACAGGGTGAGAGAGTCAGTTACGCTCGTACGTCTTGCAAACATGATTTATCACCTGCAGAGAAACGATACCAACCGTTTCATCAATTATTACGTCACTCAGGCCAGTCATGGTTTACCAGGTTTTAGCGGTGTTCCTTATATGTACGGACGTGGCTTTGGATCGATATTTTCAAGACTGTTTCGATTCATATCACCTTTTGTTAAAAAAGGATTTGCTCTGGCTAAACCGCATCTCAAAAAGGCCGCTACAGGAATCGTGTCAGATGTGTTGACGAGAGCCGTCGGTAAAATCAATGACCCTAATGCCCAAGAGGGGTCAGGCCTCATGGTTCTGTCGAGGCGTGTTCGCAAAAGACCCCCCGGCAGGCGTTTAAAGACATCTACATCACGAAGCGACCGGCGCATCAAAGCTCCAGTTACAAAACGCAAGCAAAAGAGGAAGAAGTCTCGTCAGACGGGCTCTGATATTTTTTAATCATGTCACTGCTCCACAGCAAATCGTCAGAATGTACGCTGAGTGAACTGGATCTCTTCACCGTACCCATGACGCAGTTGTCTATCGAAGATAAGATCTACAGCGAAATTTTACCCATAGCGGCCCTGACGGACGGCGGGCCTGTAGAATTTTTTGTCCCCGGAGATGGAGAAAAATATTTGGATTTAAACGACA